AACCCACTGGGCTCCACAGACAATGCTCTGAAACATGTGGAGCTTTGACTTTTATATGCAAGGTACTGAGCTAGGTGGTATGGGAAATGCAAAGATCAGTGAGAAAGTTGTGAGATCAGAAAGAAAGTGAGAAAGAGCTATAGGAAACAGAGATTAAGACATGGCCTCAGATAATGAGAAGACAGCAAGTAACAGCAGAAGCCTTGGCAGGGGATTCACAAACATAGCGAAGGCAGCACAATGTGGGAAGGTGTGGTCTGAGGAATGGAGAGTCATTGGTGGGTCAGCCAATGCACCTCCAGGCACAGGGGAGAGAAAACAGGGGTTGGATCTCTTGCTCAACATCTATCCCACCTATGGAATTTTCCTGAGTGTGTTAGATATCTACTGCAGCATAGCAAATTACTTCATAACGCAGCAGTTTTAAACAACAAATGTTTATTTCCTCACAGCTTCTGTAGGTCAGGAATTCAAGATTGACTTAGCTGAGTGATTCTGGTTCAGGGTCTCTCATGAGACTTCATTCAATATACTACTGATCAAAGTGGTGCACTTGTAACAAGTGATGAACCTACACATTATAATCACCCAAAGTCCGGTTTACATCAGAGTTCACTCTTGTACATTACAAGGGTTTAGACAAAAGTACAATGAAGGACACGTATCCATCACTACAGTGTCATATAGAATAGTTTCACTACCCTATAATCTCTGTACTCCATCCATTCATCCCAGCCTCCCTGTTGTTTCCATTGCTTCCTGTTAATTCCTGGAAACCATCTTTTTTATTGTCTCTATACTTCTGCCTTTTCCAGAAAGTCATATGGTTGGAATATAATAATATGCTAAAATCCTCAACAAAATTCTAGCAAACAGAATCCAACAACATATTAAAAAGATCATACATCATGGCCAAATGGGCTTTATCCCAGGGATGCAAGGATTCTTCAATATTCGCAAATCAGTCAATGTGATACACCACATTAACAAACTGAAAGATAAAAACCATATGATTATCTCAATAGATGCAGAGAAAGCCTTTGACAAAATTTGACATCCATTTATGATAAAAGCTTTCCAGAAAGCAGGTACAGAAGGAACATACCTCAACATAATAAAAGCCATATATGATAAACCCACAGCAAAGATTATCCTTAATGGCGAAAAATTGAAAGCATTTCCCCTAAAGTCAGGAACAAGACAATGGTGTCCACTCTCACCACTGCTATTCAACATAGTTTTGGAAGTTTTAGCCACAGGAATCAGAAAAGAGAAAGAAATAAAAGGAATATTATAATACATAGTCTTTTCAATAACACACATTTTAAGTTTCCTCCAGGTCTCATGACTTGATAGCACATTTCTTTTTAGCCCTTATTGTAATTATTGTTTTCAGCCACTAAGTTTTGGGATAATCTGTTATTCAGCAATAGATACCTCAAAATTCTTCCAGAATATCCCATAACTAGCCTCAGGGGAAAAAAAGATATTTAAAAGACATTTATTTTTGTATTCAGTCATTCACCCAACTTAAACCCAACAGAGTATACTTGGCTTCGGATATGGTTAGATCTAGACAGTTCAACTGATGTCAACCGGGCTTTGTGTCTGTTTTCTATTGGTTTTACATCCCTCACTGACAGCTCTAAACTTCCCTGGATTTTATTAGAAGAAAGATTCATACAGAAGAAAGGTATCAGAAGAAAGGAGATACCTTTCTTCTGACCTGAGTCATCTGCTATAACAGTGAGTCATGTTTTTGATCTTAAGTCACAGAAAACTCCACCAGCAGTGGCTTAAATAAATATCCCACACAGATATGTATTATTTCCTTAGAGGAAGTCAGGAGTAGGAGGTCTAGCACTTGTCAAATATCAAAGACTTAAGTTCTTTCTATTCTTCAAGCTAGACTTCATGCTCATTGCCTCACAGTTATAATATGGTTTCCCCAGCTCCAGGCATCACAACTGCTTTCATGACAGGAAGAAATGAAAAGGCGCAGAGACTATACAGATGAACTCACAAACAAAAAAAGTGGGGTGAGGGGCACACTCACAATTCTTTTAATTAGACAACTTTAGTTCCAAAACAAGAGGATGGAAGGATGAGTATGGGTAACAGTTTAAACCCAGGCATGGAGCGGGTGGAGCCTGAGGAGGGCAGAAGGTTAGATTAGAGAGTATTTCAGAGCTCTGTAAGGAGGGGAGGAGGAAATAAGGGGTATCATGGATCTATGATAATATAGTCAGCCATCGGTTTCCCAGGGGATTGCTTCAAGGACCCCCACAAATACCAAAATCCACACCAGCTCCTCTCTTACATAAAATTGACACAGTATTTGCATATAACCTATATACAACCTCCTATATATTTTAATCACCTCTAGATTATTTATAATCCCTAAGACAACCTAAATATTATGTAAACAGTTGCCGGGCACACAGAAAAACACAAGTTTTGCTTTTTAGGAAATTTTAGAAATTATTTTTTGAATATTTTCTATCCAAGTTTGGTTGAATTTGTGCATGTGGAACCATGGACATGGAGGGCTCACTGTTTTTCATTTAATGCTCACAATAGCCACATGAGGTCAGTATTACTTAATTTCCACTCAATTCCCAAATTCCAGACAACAACATTAAGAAATGGTGAAGGGGAGTCATTGGTTCGAGTCACTCACTCAAGAAGTAGATACTGGCAAGAACAGAATTCAAATCCAGGCCTTTCTGATTAGTCTCCATGCGGACTCCAGAGTCTCCAGAGTAAACAGACACCTGCACTGGTTCCCTACAGAAAGAGTAACTCTGGGGTGGTGGTGGTGGCTTAGTTGCTAAATTATGTCTGACTCTTGCGATCCCATGGACTATAGCCCGCCAGGCTCCTCTGTCCACGGGATTCTCCAGGCAAGAATACTAGAGTGGGTGGCCATTTCCTTCTCCAGGGGATCTTCCCGATCCAGGGATTGAACCTGGGTCTTCTGCATTGCAGCCAGAATTTTTAAGGACTGAGCTATGAAGGAAACCCAACTCTGGGGGAACAGGCCCAATTACGGTCACTTCCTGGACCTATCTGAAGACAACTGACTACCTGCTGACTCAGTTCAGTTCAGTCGCTCAGTCGTGTCCGACTCTTTAGCTTATTATCTAAAATAATAAGTGTTTGGAGATGGGGTGGGAACCTCACTGAGAAACATCTGCAATCCTCAGGCTGAGATGAGATTTCTAACTAAATTAAAAAAATAAATAAAGCAAAACAAACAAACAAAAAACCCTACACCAACAGTGAAGCCAAAGAACAAGTACCCAGAACTTGTGTTAGCTGCACAGTCCGAGCTCATCAGGGTCTCACCAGAAGATGGAGCCGCAGCGGAGCTCATAAGGAAAGGGCGAGCCGAGTCAGGGGAACTGCAAGACATGGGCGCCCAGCTGCCTTGGGATGGCCCGTTCGGTATGTTCTCATTTCTGTAAAATACAAGGATCTTAACGAAAATTCACTGAAGATGTAGTCTAAACTGTTAACACGATTATCTCAGGATGGAGGAATAGAGGAGACCAAGAGTTTACATTTTTCTCTAGTTTATACTGCTGCAAAGATTGATCTTTTTTTTCCCCAGAGGCAGAAAAAAATCCAATTATATTGAAAACAAACAAACAAAAAAAGCAGTACTATCTAGGTAAAGAAATGGTATCTGAAAAAAAAAAAGGTCAGAGCCAAGCTCAGCCCTAGAGGAAGCGATTCTGCTCTTCCTTCCCGGCCTCACCCCCAAAACTGAAAACCTGGTCTCAGAACCCCCGCCCGGGGGACTGCATCCCTGGGAGCAAGCTGGGACCCCCCCTCCCGTCTCTCTCTTCCACCAAACCAGTCTCCAGGTCCCGTTTCCCACCAACCCCCTCCACCGTCCCCCGGGCCTACTCGGCCCCGGAACTACTCGGCCCCGGAACTCGGATAAGAGTGGGCGGCCCTGGCCCGCGGGGCAGAATCTTCCGCGGAGCCGAATCTTCCGCGGAGCCGCGGCCCCTCGGAATCAGCCCTGCCGACGGAGCGCGCCACCGCGTGACCTGCAGGCACATGACCCGCGCGGGGCGGGGCTGCCGGCGCAGTCGCTGCAGCCGCCGCGGGAGGCATCCGCGTAAGTGGGGAGCGGGGTCCGCGGGGACGCTCTTCGCTGTCGCGGTCCGGGCGCTGCCCAGCCTCTGGTACCCCGGGGTCGGGATTCCCAGCGATCTGCTTGGACCTCCTCCCTGGGAGGGCGATGGGATTACCAGTGGGGTGGGGGAAAAACTTCGGTCGTGGGGAAAATCCCATGACCGCAGACCCAGCCACCTCAGCCTCGGGCCTTCCCACTCTGATTTGACCGCAGTGCTGGGGGAGGAGTAAACGTCCTAATTCCTGAGTTCTTTGGTGGAAACTGAGGATTCACAAAGCAAGGCCGGCCGGTAGGAGCACCTCTCTCTGGTACTGAGAGGACACACCTCTCCAGTCCCCCACCTACTCTAGTGATCCAAGATGATCTCGTGACCTGTTTAGTGAGGAGTTGTTCAAGGGTAGAGCATAGCATCTAGCCAGGTGAGGGTCGTCAGGAAGGGGCATGGAGGCCTGGGTCGAGCTACAACATACTAGCCAACATAGTATGTTGAATACTATGTGGTTTACAGGCGTTTTCTCATTTAATATTCACTATCCTGAAGTGTCTCAGGTAGGTGCTGTTGTCCCCATTTTCACGTTAAGAAAAAACAGGCTCAAAGAACTTGGGTCCTTAACCGAGGTCCTGCAATGATAAATAGAGGAACCGAGATGGGAACCCAGGTCTGTCCCGCAGCAGCGCCTCCTGCTGGGTGGTGGAGCCACTTGGCCCAGCTTTTTTATATTCCTGTGAACTGAAAGAGCGTTCCTCTTCCTGGCTCAGCCTAGGGGCTTATCCCTCCATCCCAGCCACCTCCACCCCTTGCTCCTTATGGCTTACCAGTGATTCTTTCTGTCACCTGCCTCTGCAGGACACGATGAAGCTCATCATCCTGGACCACTATTCTCAGGCCAGTGAGTGGGCGGCCAAATACATCAGGAACCGCATCATCCAGTTTAACCCAGGGCCAGACAAGTACTTCACCCTGGGGCTCCCTACTGGTGCGTTGTGGAATGGGGAGAGTGGGCAAAGGCATTAGGGGCTCTCAACGGTCCAGGTAGGTAGGCTCATTCAGCCAAGGAACTGCAAGGAGGCCTCTGAGGTACTGCCCCTATGAGTAAACAACTCCCCTGCGCCCTGGGCATACAAAACAGAGGACCCAGCTTCCTCTGGGGTTGGTTTTGTTGCTGCCTGCTCCATAAGAATCCTGGAGTAGAAGAGATCTTGGTTAGGCATGAAAAACTTTGATTTTTAGGCTATATTCTCTAAATCAGCCCTGGGAGCCAAGTGCCCTTAACAGAATTAAGTCCTAATACCTTAAGACATACATTTTATGTAATGAATTAATTTCTCTTCTCTGCACCTATAGTGCTAGTAACTAAACACCGTCTTTGGGAGAATTGAGAAGATAGTCACTCGAAGCAATTTCTGTAAGGCTTAATTAAACATAGAACCTAAGTGAAAAACAGTCCCAATTTCTTTGGAGAAAAAATCAGAATGCTGCCTTTATCAGAGGATATTTTGACTCTAGCTCATCAAGGCAAATGTTCTGATTATTTCTTTCAGAGGTGGGGTGGATTTGCCTCAGTGGCCCATATATTACTGGATGAGTCTTCAAGTTTTTTCTATATACAGCCAAGTAATAAATATTTTACAGTGGCCATTTTATTTTATTTTATTGGCCATACAGTTTCCACTGCAACCACTTAACTCTGCCCTTGTAGCTCAAAAGCAGCCATAGACAATACATAAATGAGCATGGCTGACTGCCAGTGAAACTTTACCAACACTGAAGTTTGAGCTTACATAACTTTCATATGTCATAATATTCTTTTGTTTTTTAAACTGTAATTTATGAATGCTACAAAAGCAGGCAGTATGCTAGATTTGGCCTGTGAGCTAAAGTTTCCCCATCTCTGCTGGAGAGGTTTATGGGAACAGTATATGCAGGTGACTGTGAAACCACTAACATCTCAGACTAGGACGGGGCTACACTAACATCCTGTTTTCTAACTGTACAGCCAGGCTAGATTGGAGTCTGGGCTTCTGCTGAAACCCCTCCCCATTGCCCTGTTATTTGCAAAATAGATCCAGCCTCTCAGAGTGGTATTCAGGGCCATCGAAGACCTGGCTCCTTCCTTACTATCACACTTGAACTAGCACAGCATTTCCACGTGGGTTCCTTGGACTACTCCTTCTGTTAGATGAAGCACCAGTCAGGGATTTGGGTGGAAGCTACCAAAACCTACTCTGGCTAATTAAAGAAGAAAAGGAATTTACTGGCTAGATAATGGGGAGCTCACAGGATCAAACCAGTAAATCCTAAAGGAAATCAACCCTGAATAGTCATTGAAAGGACTGATGCTGAAGCTGAAGCTACAGTACTTTGGCCACCTGATTCGAAGAGCTGACTCATTGGAAAAGACCCTGATGCTGGGAAAGATTGAAGGCAAAAGGAGAAGAGGGCGTCAGAGGATGAGATGGTTAGATAGCATCACTGACTCAATGGACATGAATTTGAGCAAACTCCAGTAGATAGTGGAGGACAGAAGAGGCTGGTGTGCTACAGTCCATGGGGTTGCAAAGAGCCAGACACAACGTAGTGCCTGATCAACAACACACAGGACTGATGGGAAGGCTAGAAGTTTGGAAAATGGACATGATGAAGTTCAGGGGGAGGACAGGGAAGCTGTGTAGCTCAGGCATAGCTAAGACCATGTCACAAGGCCAGGCTGGTTATTTTGTGTGAATGGGGCTGCTGCTGCCATTCATTCAGCAGATATTTTTTGAATACCTGCTGTATGCCAAACTGTTCTTGATGCCAGATATACAGCAATGAATAAAAAGAACACAAATTCCTGCCTTCCTAAAGCTTAAATTATAGTGGGAGAGACAGATCATAAACAAGTGAATTAGCAAAATACAGAGTAGACTGGATGGTGATAAGAGGGAAGGAGAAAATGAAGCAGGGAAAGTGATAGGGAATGTCCAGGAAGGGGTGGGAGTTACAGTGTTGGATATGGGGGCAGGGAAATTCTCTGAGTAAAGGCCCTGAAGAGGTGAGTTAGCTGTGCAGATACTGGTAGGATAGCATTGTTGGCAAAGGGAACAAACCCCATGTGCAAAGGCCCTGAGGTGAAACTGCTTGAAGCAGGATTCCTAAGGCAGGTGGGAGGCAGCCAGGGGCCAGGTTATATAGAGCCTTTGTTAGGACTAGTTATTATTCAGAGTGAAATAAGAAGCCATTAGTGGGTTATGAAAAGAATGACCTGGTTTGGGTGGGGCTTTTTTCTTTCCATCTTTTTATTTTTAGCAGTTTCACATATTCAGAAAAGCTGAAAGAATAGGTACCATTTACCTGTATTCACCAGTTAACATTTTGCCATATTTACTTTCATCTCTTGTGGCTCATGTTCTCTCTCTATACATACACACACTCCTTATAAGCCACTTGAAAGGTCCAGAGATCCTCTAAGTCTTTTACCTCTAAGTCCCTTAGCACATAACTCCTCAGAATTAGGACATTCTCTTATATAACCACAATGCTATTATCATACCTAAGGAAATTAAAAATCATTTCACAATGTCATCTAATACACAAACTATATTAATTTTCCCTCTAATTGTCCACATTTATTATTTGTAGTTTTTAAAAAATTAATCTAATGTCCAGTCAGCCTTCATGCATATCTAGTTTCTTAATCTACAGCAGTCCTCTTGCCTCTTTATGGGTTTATGACTGACTTTTTAATGAGACTGCACACAAGAGTTTGCTCCTCCAAGGGGAAGTCTCCCCGAACCCACAGGCTAGCCTGTACCACAGCTGACATTACGTGGTGTAATGTGACCCCTCCCCTAGACAGTGAGCTTCTCCAGGGTGGCTGCTGAGTCTGTCACTTCTCTGCATGCCCATAATGTACCTCTCACATACTGGTTGCTCAGGGAATATCGTGTTGGTAATTAAATCTGACATTCACTCAGGTGCTAATCACAGTCATTTCAATCATCAGTGTTTTAAGTGCTAGGGATTTAGCAGTGAACAAGAAAAACATAGCCCTGCCCTCCTGGAGCTTGCAGTCTAGGGGGAAAATAGGTTATTAAACCAGCAACTTAATGGATGACAGTTGGGATTGAGCATTAGGTAGGACTTCAGATCTGACAGGTATTCCTAGTGTAGCATCCCTCATTCATTCCTGGTTGTCCTCTGGGCTTCTAGGAGTGGGAGGCTGAAGGGGGTTCATTGCTGTGGCCTCTCTTGCAGGGAGCACCCCACTTGGCTGCTATAAGAAACTGATTGAATACTATAAGAATGGAGACCTGTCCTTCAAGTATGTGAAGACTTTCAACATGGATGAGTATGTGGGTGAGTCTTTGTCTTTCACGGTCTTACCTGATTCTAGGAAAGTCGTACTCCTCGACTCACAGATCAGCCAGGAGAGGATTGGGGACATCTCGGAACCAGTGACATTTGGTGGTAGGCTCAATTGGTGATACCATATCCTCCAGGCCTTGGTTTCTTCAGCTATGACATGAAGCTAATGAAGCTGACTTTTTGGGCTGTAAGCATTAAGTGATATAACAGATGTGGAAGCTTCTTGTACAGAGCAGACACTTGATAAACTTTAGCATATTGCCCCCTCTGTCTCCTCCCCAACTCCATGCCATTTCTTGCTGGAACATATGGCTGCAGGTGGGATCTGGGGTCCCATGGCTGGGGCGTGTCCCCCAGTGTCTGTGTCTGGACTTTCTATTGTTCATCTTGCAATCCCCTTCCTGCCAAGTATACCGGGAGGGGAGCTGAGACTGATGTCCTTCCCACTGATGAAAAATGGCACCTTGGACTCCTGTCACCCTCTGTACCACCTACCATCATCTTGTAATGGTTTCACTTGAAAGATTCTTTTTCTTTTAAGTGTGGTAAACTACACATAACATAAAACCTACCATCTTAACTGTCTTTCTATGTACAGTTTGGCGTTACGTACTTTCACACTGTTGTGCAACCAATTTCCAGAACTCTCTTCATCTTGCAAAACTAAAACTCTAGCTATTAAACATCAACTACCCATTTCCCCACCCCAGCCCCAGCCCCTACTGCTGCTACTTCAGTCGTGTCCAACTCTGTGTGACCCCATAGACGGCAGCCCACCAGGCTCCCCCATCCCTGGGATTCTCCAGGCAAGAATACTGGAGCGGGTTGCCTTTTCCTTCTCCAGTGCATGGAAGTGAGAAGTGAAAGTGGAGTCGCTCAGTCGTGTCTGACTCTTACCAACCCCATGGACTGTAGCCTACCAGGCTCCTCCATCCATGGGATTCTCCAGGCAAGAATACTGGAGTGGATTGCCATTTCCTTCTCCATACCCAGCCCCTGAAACATGCATTTTAAACATTCTTCTTGACTGAAAAATATCCTCTTTGGGAAGCCCTGAAATTAATTCTCGCCAGCCACCCGGTGTTCAAGTTGGGGTTCAGGCTGAGCAGGGTGTAACTGGGAATGAATGGTGGGGTAGGAGGCATAGGGTAAGGGGTATGCTTGCTTCCTTCCCTAGATGGACCCAGTCCTTACCCCCCAGGAGGCTAGCCCACCTCTAGAGGCCCAGAATGACCCTGGCCTGCAGCCTCGGCATTCCCCTGTGAAAGGAGACCGGAATGAGGGCCTAGTCCCATGGTCATGAGCAGACAAGGATACCAGCTAAGTCTATCCTGAGTGGCTGGGGGTAGGAGGGCTGGGGCTCCAGCCTCCCTGATAGGCTCTTTCCTGAAAGTGTCTCTGGGGGTCAGGACGTATCCTGGCATCTTTAGGAGGTGGACTCTGGCTCAGCCTGGCATGACTGAGTGCAGCCATGGCCCCACAGGCCTTCCTCGAGACCACCCAGAGAGCTACCACTCCTTCATGTGGAACAACTTCTTCAAGCACATTGACATCCACCCAGAAAACACTCACATCCTGGATGGGAATGCAGCTGACCTACAGGCTGAGTGTGATGCCTTTGAAGAGAAGATCAAGGCTGCGGGCGGGATTGAGCTGTTTGTTGGAGGTGAGCTCAACACTGCAGCAGGTGTCCAGGGTGGCTGGAACACATGAGAAGGACAAGACCCATGCCTGTCTCCCAAACAGCTTCCTCTCTGTGCCAGTGACAGGGGTCATTTGTTAGCCTGAGGTGGCAGGGAAGGCACAGAGTGGGAGCCCCTGCTGCTCAGAAACTGTGATATGGGGCATCTCCTCCTCTTTGATGTCTTGCCTAAAGTGAGGTATTTAGATTTGGACTCAGATTCTCTCTGTTCCCTAGACAGAGTTTTATGGATCAGTCATGGGAACTGGCTGATCAGTCAAACATTAAAAATCAGACTCATGTAGTTCAAAAAGACTCTACCGTCAACCCCTGCACACTATAAATAGCGATTGAACCCCAGAGTTTTGTGACTTGCCCTGGGTCAGCCAGTCAGAGCAGCAGAGAGCGGGTGGGGACCTAGGGTGTCCCTACCCTGAGTTGCCCTCTTACACTTCCATCTGTCATGGCCTCTGGAGTCACCCACAGCGGGTGGAGGTGGGAGGCTGAAGTCGAACAGTTTTTTACTGCTCCAGATTTAACCCTTCTTTACTTCAAAGTGGGGAGGAAGAGGCTAGGAATGCTCATGTTTTGAGATATTATAAACCTGGCAGCCCCTTTCCAGGCCCTGTACATGTTTTATTCAGTGTGACTCTGTCCAAGCAGTGGGACCCAGGACTAGTGGTAGACGAGAGAAAAGTTACACTTAGATGATCTGAGGGGCAGATGCTTTTTTAACTGCTCCCTCCTTAGCTTTCTGAGGGGGTTAGCAAGTTAACAATGTGTGTGTATGCCTCAGCTAGAAACAAGGGGGGAAGGCCAGATGCTTAAAGTGTACCTTAACTGGATGAGGTAAGAGACACGGTTTTCAAGGATTTTTTTCAGACCCTAAGTGAGGAAGGAGAGATTGTCCATTCTTGAAGTCTTGGATCCCTGGCACCGACAGGGCTGCCCCGTCTCTCTTGGGCAGGCATCGGCCCTGATGGACACATTGCCTTCAATGAGCCGGGCTCCAGTCTGGTGTCTAGGACCCGTGTGAAGACGCTGGCCATGGACACCATCCTGGCCAATGCTAGGTTCTTCGATGGAGATCTTGCCAAGGTGCCCACTATGGCCCTGACGGTGGGCGTGGGCACTGTCATGGATGCTAGAGAGGTAAGGGTGCAAGGGATTCACAGGCCTTTCACTGGGGGTGCTAGACTTGTTTTTTTGCTGTTAATTTTAACTATACATGTACTACCTGAATTCACTTTTATTAAAAATGAAGACATTTTAAATAAGGCTAAAGTCCCAACTGAGACCCTTCACTGTACTCTTTCTTCTCTGGAAGTAACTGTTCCTCCCAGTGTGAGGTGAAACCTTTCAGCAGTGACTGCCCAGGAAGCCGCAGGCTCCTAGTCTCTGCTTACCCAGCACCACTAATGTCAGAATATGAATTTGTACCTGCCCAGGCACTGAGGAGGCCCTCTGGTTCCCTGCAGTTGGTGGCGTTCAGTCACTGCTTGAAGGGAGCTCCCCCTGCAACTTGCACGATGCTTGTGCTTATAGCCCTGTGTGCAAAGATTGATAAATGTGGAGAAGTGTGATGGAAATAGTATCTTGACCTGAATTTAGTGAGTCTTTCCATAGAAATCTGGGTATCATTCGAATTTTTTGTGATTCCAGTTTCCTTACTTTCATTAGAAGCTTTTTCTCTTCATTTCTGATATATTCAGTGAGAAGCAGCTACAGAAATTTTAGCTTCAACTTTCCTTGCCCAAGTCTGTACACAAACATGTAAATCAGTGAAAAAGTTTCCCTGTCTAAAATGAGCTTCTGTGAAATGATCAATGGCAGAAGATTCCTGTTGGGAAACCTTGAATCAGTACCTAGGGAGGTCATTTTGCTGGTTTTGGTAAATATTGTGGTTTGAGGGCTCTTCCTGAAGGTGCAGAAAGGACCTGGGGCTGGAAATTCTATTTTTAAAAATGAATTCTGGCGTCCTGAACAAAGAGTCACATTTCTCTTTGTGCCTCTGTTTTTTCATCTTTCAAGCAAGGAACAGTAGATCCTGCTCACAACTCCATGGTACAAGTGAATTACAATGAAAGGGTGTATGGAGAGCTATTTATAATCACTTTCCAACACTTAATATCTTGATATTTTAAGCGTCGAGGGGAGTCAGTGCTTGTTTTACTTAGACAAAAAGCATTACTCTAAGTCACATGAGCAGGTCTAATACTCTGAATTGAAAAGTGAGCAGATTAAGGGGCAGCCTTATTGGGATTCAACCTTAGCAGCCACACAGATAACTCTCACCATTGCTTCCAAGGCCTCCTTGTAGGCAGTGCTGATTGTGGCCCCTCTTTTTCAGTTTGTCACTGAAAACTCACCCAGCCTAGAAGCCCTGGGACCTAGCGTCAGAACAGTTGGGATAAGGTGTGGGCCTCTGTGTGCAGGCACATCTGTCCACAGGGCACTTTCACAGACGTCATCAGAGGCGTCAGAAGACACAATTACGTGGTGGTCAAGAGCACGGACTCTAGGTTAGAAACGACCTGGGGCAGGCTACTTAAACCCCCATCACAGAACCTCCTTCCTTATCCTAGAATGTAGGGATACTGATGCTCCCCACTTCAGGCTACTTGTGTGATAAAGCACATAGAGGGTGGGGCACAGTGTGCCCTGTGCTAATGACTTAAAATAACATAAAAACAGTCCTTTTTTTGGGTAGCCAGACTAGAATTCAGGTGTCTAGACTTCCAGTTTCGCTGCTCTTTCTTCTCCATCACAGGCTTGTTTTCTGATCCCCAGGTGATGATCCTCATCACAGGTGCTCACAAGGCGTTTGCTCTGTACAAGGCCATCGAGGAGGGAGTGAACCACATGTGGACCGTGTCTGCCTTCCAGCAGCATCCCCGCACAGTGTTTGTGTGTGACGAGGATGCTACCCTGGAGTTGAAAGTGAAGACCGTCAAGTATTTCAAAGGTGAGGGTGAGGTGGGTCAGAGAGTAGGTAGCCAACTTCAGATATGCCAAGAGTGAAGAGTGGATCTAGCTTGCATGCTCTGGCCACTGTTAATTCACAACTGTGATTTAAAAAAAAAAGAAAATCAAACCCTCCTCTCAGAATACAGTTTTTTCTTCCATCCATGACTGTAAGGGTCCATTTTTGGAGACCTACTTGCTCTGAGAAGGAGAAAAGAATGAAATGAAAGTTGGAGTTCTAGGGTAATTTGGTAAACTCTTTGCAGTGATACTGAGCCTCAGGTTTTTTATCTTTTCAGATCTCATACAGGCCTTTTCCTTCTAGTCAAGGCACTGAACTGTCATGAAGATCTTTTTTCTTCTACTTAAAGAGGACACTCACTGCTTCAAACATGAAAATCCTCATTTACTGAGCAGACAAATAGGAATTTGTTCTTTGGTGAACAAATGGCCAACTTATAATGGCCAACTGTCCTAGAGACTGAATTTATAAAAGTCCCATGGATTCTAGCATTCAGTAGGAATAACAAATTCTTTTCCTATTCTTAAGATGTTTATCATTTGGGCCCACAGAAAAATGATTAGTACCAGTTCTCGGACAAAATTTGAGAGCTCCTGGACGTTACTGTTGATAATGGAACTCTGCCTCTACCTGCATTAACAACTTTTGTTCTAATTTTTTGTAGGTTTAATGCTTGTTCATAACAAATTGGTGGACCCCTTGTACAGTATCAAAGAGAAAGAAATAGAGAAAAGCCAGTCTTCCAAGAAACCATACAGTGATTAGTCTGTGCTAATCCTGATATCAAGTACCTCATTGGGACAGGCAGATCTTTCTGGAAATTGTCTTTAGGATGACAGAATTGTATTTCTTTAATCTAGTATGGTTACTCCAGATAAGTGGGCAAACTGTTCTTGGCTATGCAGCGTGGAGTTTGGTCATGGAGTTTAGCTACTTGTTTGTAACTTACTCTTAATCAGAAAAAAAAAAAAAAATCCGTAATTTTGATGTCTGCCCCACTGACTAGGGGTTTTTAGCTTTTTGTTCTGTCTCTGACACTGTTCACATGTATACTACATTCCCATCAGTAAGTTCTTTCATTATGTGCACTGATTCTCAACTGGGGAGGGAGTTAAGGGCTTATATATATTGGATAGAACCTCTTTGGAGAGTTTTGAAAGTCCCTCTTGAACAGACTTGCCCCTTATTTGAGAATCACTGTTTTAGATTAAGGAATAAACTAAAATCAGTATGAGGAAGCAGTCCCTTTGGTCAATAACAGAGGCCATGGGAAGGAAACTATCCCTTACTTTCTTTTCCCCATTCCCGCCCCCCACCCCCCGCTCTTTGAGTTGGCCCTTCCTTGAACTCAGAGGACTCTTAAGGAGGATTTGGGTGGGTGGGGCTAGAGAGAAGGCTTTCTCTGATAAACTCAGCCTAAAGAGACCCTTCCATGTCACACTTCCCTCCCACAGGGACCTTCCAGCACTGGAAGGCGGAACATTTTCCCCATCAGAGTCCTGTATTTTGTTCCAGAGTCTCACTGTGGAACCTCTCATACACATGGACGAGGTCCACAGGGGCAACAGACACTGTCAAATTCAAAGCTGTATTCAGCCAAGGTTATGGGGCCAGGGCAAGCAGCTTGGTTGAATTTAGAAACACACAAGTGACATGTTCTACACCCCTAAGAGCTGAGTGCCAAAAACATACCAACTTCTTTTGAAGTTGCCTAATATTCTTTCCCCACATAAAATACCCTATCCTTCTAACCCTCATGGACTCCTGTGGCATGGCCTCATGTTTCCAAAAAATTAGGAAACACAATGCTTTTGCCCCTTTCTCCTTTGTTCCTTGATCACAAAATGAGTCTACTGCTCTGCTTTCCTCTTATTTCTATGCCTTGACGGTTTGGATGCTGCCTCCTCCTCCCTGTTTTTGTGCCAGTTGGAAGCTGCTGCCACCTCTTTTCTGGGAAAGATCTTTCAGAGCCTGGCTCAGGCCTCTCTTTAAGCGCTGTTTTTGGTACCAGTGTTTTACCTTTAGCTTTTATACGTGATTGTGCTGCCATTCGGTTTTAAGCTAATGGATCAATAGACTTGTTTACAATGTGCTATTTTCTATTAAATCCAGTATTTTAAAGTAAAATGTGTCATTTGTGGACTTCCTCCCCCAGAGGTCAGAAGCTGGCCTGGGTTGATATTTCTATGTTTTGAGAACAGCTAGTGAGTAAAGCATCACACTCACTCCTCATAGCAGCTCAGCAGGCAGTCACAGTCACAGCAACTGTTGATCTCTTTCTCAAACACCAGAGAGGAAAATAACCAAAATATTTCACAAAAATGAAGTGCCTGTGTGAAAAAATGGTAGGAATGAACAGATGAGCAATAAATGGTCAGATTCTGGCTCTGCTTGACATCCAAATGAATATATGCCTGTTAAATAGAATAAGGCAGACTTGTGACCAGGAGGGATGTATCAACTGCAAGGTACGGAAAACAGGTTTTAAGTTTTTTTTAGTTAAAAGTCAATACAGTGGAACATCTTGGGTAAACATAACCAACTGAGGTATGAATAGAAGTTGAGAGACAGGTTTACTTTTTTAACAACTGTTATTAATATATGCGCCCATAGGACTCACTTGTTTTAAATATAAATTCAAGGATTTTTATTAAGTCTGTAGAGTTGTACAATTCCTCACCATAGCCCCTTCCATCATCCCCCACAGCTCCCTAATCCTACCCCAGCCCAGGTGACCACTCATCTGCTTTGTCTCTATAGATTTACCTTTGTTGGACATTTCATATATAAATGAAATCATACAGCATGACATCGTTTGGGTCTGGCTTCTTTCACTAAGCATAATATTTTGATGTTTATTCATATAACATGTAGCAAACCGTCCATTCCTTTTTATTGCTGAAGAGTATTTCATTGTATGGATATACCACATTTTGTTTATTTCATAAAGAAGGGATTACATTATAAGTAGGCATGTTAATAGGAAAAAAATCAGAATGAAATGAGAAAGGATTTAGTGATGAATGCTAAACGGAGATGTCTGTATGAACTCAGGATCTTTAAAAAAATCTGTCATGGGAAAAATGTCTGAAAGAGTGGGTAGATGTATATGTCCCCTTCATGGATCACAGCCTTGTTGTGGTAAAGGGGCTTGAATAATTCAATGAAGCTATGAGCCATGCCGTGCAGGGCCACTCAAGACAGATGCGTCATAGTGAAGAGTTCAGACAAAACATGGTCCAGTGGAGTAGGAAATGGCAACCCACGCCAGTATTCTTGCCTGGAGAACCCCATGGACAGTATGAAAAGGCAAGAAGATAGGACACCAGAAGATAAGCCCCCCACCCCCCCACCCTAGGTGAGAAGGTGTCCAATATGCTACTGGGGAAGAGCAAAGGGCAATTATGAATAACACCAAAAAGAATGAAATGGATGGGCCAAAGCAGAAATGACGCTATGTTGTGGATGTGTCTGGTGGTAAAAGTCAAGTCTTATGCTGTAAAGAACAATATTGCACAGGAACCTGGAATGTTAGGTCCATGAATCAAGGTAAATTGCATGTGGTGAAGCAGGAGATGGCAAGATTGAATACTGACATCTTAGGAATCAGTGAACTCACATGGATGGGAATGGGCAAATTTAATTCAGATGACCATTGTATCTACTACTGTGGGCAAGAATCCCTTAGAAGAAATGGAATAGCCCTCATAGTCAACAAAAGAATCCAAAATGCAGTATTTGAGTGCAATCTCAAAAATGACAAAATGATATCAGTTAGTTTCCAAGGCAAACCATTCAAAATCATAGTAATCTAAGTCTATGCCCCAACCACTGATGCAGACGTTGAAGTTGACTGGTTCTATGACGACCTACAACATTTTCTAGAACTAACACCAAAAAAGATATTCTTTTCATCATGGGATTGGAATGTAAAAGTAGGAAGTCAAGAGATACCTGGAATAACAATCAAGTTTAGCCTTAGTGTACCAAATTAACCAGGGCAAAAGCTAACAGAGTTTTGTCAAGAGAACCCGATGGTCATAGCAAACACCCTTTTCCAACAACCCAAGAGACAACTCTACACATGAACATCACCAGATGGTCAATACCGAAATCAGATTGATTATGTTCTTTGCAGCGAAAGATGGAGAAGCTCTATACAGTCAGTGAAAACAAAACCTGGAGCTGTTACTCAGATCGTGAGACTTTATTGCAAAATTCAGGCTGAAACTGAAGAAAGTATGGAAAACCACTAGGGCATTCATGTATGACCTAAATCAAATCCCTTATGATTATACAGTGGAGGTGATGAATAGATTCAAGGGATTAGATCTGGTAGAGTGCAAAGAACTACGGACAGAGGTTCATAATATTGTACAGGAGGCAGGACCAAAACCACCCCAAAGAAAAAGAAATACAAGAAGGCAAAGTGGCTAACTGAGGAGGCTTTACAAATAGCTGAGGAAAGAAAAGCAAAAGGCAAGGGAGAAAGGGAAAGATATACCCAACTGAATGCAGAGTTCCAGGGAATAGCAAGAAGAGATAAGAAGGTCTTTTTAAATGAGCAATGCAAAAAAAAAAGAGGAAAATATGAGAATGGGAAAGACTGAAGATCTCTGTAAGAATATTTGGAGATACAAGGGAACATTTCATCAAGGATGGGCACGATAAAGGACATAAACAGTAGGACCTAACAGAAGCAGAAGAGATTAACAAGAGTTGACAATACACAGACCTATACAAGAAAGGTCTTACTGACCCCGATAACCATGATGATGTGGTCACTAACCCAGAGCTGGACATCCTGTAGTGTGAAGTCAGGTGGGCCTTAGGAGCCATTACTGTCAACAAAGCTAGTGGATGTGATAGAATTCCATCTGAGCTATTTAAAATCCTAAAAGATGCTGCTGTTAAAGTGCTACAAATTTGGAAAACTCAGCAGTGGCCACAGGACTGGTAAAGGTCAGTTTTCATTCCAATCCCAAAGGATGACAATGCCAAAGAATGTTCAAACTACCATACAGTTGCACTCATTTGACATGCTAGCACTATGCTCAAAATCCTTCAAGCTAGGCTTCAGCAGTATGAGAACTGAAAACTTCAGCTGTATAAGCTGGGTTTTGAAGAGGCAGTGGAACTAGAGGTCAAATTGCCAATGTTTGTTGGCTCATGGAGAAACAAGGGAATTCCAGGAAAATACCTACTTCTGCTTCATTACACTAAAGCTTTTGACTGTGTGGATCAGAACTGTGGAAATTTCTTAAAGAGATGGGAATACCAGACCACCCGACCTGTCTCCTCAGAAACCTGTACACAGGTCAAGAAGCAACAGTTAGAACCAGACATGGAACAACTGATTCAAAATTGAGGAAGGAGTACATCAAGACTGTATATTGTCACCCTGCTTATTTAACTTATATGCAGAGTACATTATGTGAAATGCCAGGCTGGATGAATCACAAACTGGAATCAAGACTGCTGGCAGAAATATCAACAGCCTCAAATATGCAGATGATACCATTCTACTGGCAGAAAATGAAGAGGAATTAAAGAGCCTCTTGATGAAAGTGAAAGAGAACATTGACAAAGTTGGCTTGAAACTCAACACTAAAAAAACTAAGGTCATGGCATCTTGATCCCATCACTTCCTGGCAAATGGAAGGGGGAAAATTGGAAGCAGTGACAGATTCTATTTTCCTGGGCTTCAAAATCACTGTGGACAATGACTGCAGCCATGAAATTAAAAGATGCTTGCTCCTTGGAAGGAAAGTTAGGACAAACCTAGACAGAGTATTAAAAAGCAAAAACATTACTTTGCTGATAAAGGTCCTTATAGTCAAAGCTATGGTTTTTCCAGTAGTCATGTATGGATGTGAGAGCTGGACCACAAAGAAGGCTGAGTGCCAGAGAATCGAGTCAATGCTTTGGAACTGTGGTACTGGAAAAGATTCTTGAGTCCCCTGGACTGCAAGGACATCAAACCAATCAATCCTAAAGGAAATCAACCCTCAATATTCATTGGAAGGTCTGCTGCTGAAGCTGAAGCTCCAGGGCTTTGGCCACCTGATGCAAAGAGCTGACTCACTGGAATAGACCCTGATGCTGAGAAAGAATCAAGACAAAAGAAGGGGGTAGCAAAGGAATGAGATGATTAGATAAAATCACTGACTCGACATGAATTTGAGCAAACTCTGAGAAACAGCAGAAGACAGAGGAGTCCATGAGGTCACAGAAAGTCATGACTTAGTGACTGAACAACAAATATGTATATATAAAACTGATTCACTTTGCTGTAGAGCAGATATTATACAGCTATACAGCACATTATAAGTCAAGTATACACATCAGTAAAAAATTTTAAAATAGTAATAATAAATTTTTTAAAAAAATATGTCTTTCCAAGGCCTGTTTACCAGCAGCAGTGTCATCATGCTTCAACCAGCTCTTGTGCAGATCAGGTGGGATGTATACTCCTGGGCCAGATTGGGCCTCTGATGCTACTCAGGGATTCTTGGAGAGAAGCAATCATTAATGTATGTTTTGGGCAGCGATCACAGTAGGCCTGGAATATTTTGTTGCCAGAAAACAAGGATGCTTTAAGAATGGCCATTACCAAAAAGTCTACAAACAATAAATGCTGGAGAGGTTATGGAGAAAAGGGAACCCTCCTGCATTGTTGGTGGGAATGTCGATTGGTACCACTATGGAGAACAGTGTGCAACTTCCTTAAAAAATTAAAACAGAACTACCATAAATTCCAGCAATCCCACTCCTGGGCATATATCCAGAGAAAACCATAATTCAAAAAGATACATGCATTCCAATGTTTACTGCAGCGCTACTTAACAACAGCCAAGACATGGGGGCAACCTAACTGTCCATCGACAGAGGAATGGATAAAGAAGGTGTGGTACATTTATAATGGAATATTACTCAGCCATAAAAAGAACAAAATAATGCCATTTGCAGCAACATGGATGGGCCTAGAGATTTTCATACTAAGTGAAGGAAGTAAAAGAGAAAGACAAATATCATATGATATCACTTATATGTGGAATCTAATTTTTAAAAATGACAACTTATTTATAAAACAGAAACAAACAAACAAAAAACCAGAAACAGACTCACAGATTTCAAAAACAAACATATTTACCCAAAGGGAAATGTCGGGGTTCTTATTCAGTTACTAAGTTGTGTCTAACTCTTTGCAACCCCATGAACTGCAGCATGCCAGGCTTCCCTGTCCTTTGCTATTTCCCAGTTTGCTCAAACTCATGTCCATTGAGTCAGTGATGCCATCCAACCATCTCATCCTCTGTCACCCCCTTCTCGTCTTGCCCTCATGCCCTCAATCTTTCCCAGCATCAGGGTCATGGTGGGGAGTTCTGACAAAATGTAGTCTACTGGAGAACAAAATAGCAAACCACTTCAGTATTCTTGCCTCGAGAACTCCATGAACACAATGAAAAGGCAAGGGTCGCAGGATAAATCAGGAGCCTGGAATTAACATACACACACTACTATATATAACATAGATAACCAACAAGGACATACTATATAGCACAGGGAAATCTACTGGATATTCTATAATAACTTATATGGGAAAAGAATCTGAAAAAGAATGAATACATGTACAACTGAATTACTCTGCTGCACATCTGAAACTAGCACAACATTGTAAGTAAACTACTCCAATAAAATTTAAAAAAAAATAAATACAGCTAAATAGAAAAAGGTGAATCTATCTGTAAAACCCTTAGTGTGATACACAAAAAGGAAAAGATAGTATATATATAATTTGTATTTCAGGGGTTGGATGGAATGTGCTTAAAGTTTCATTTAGTAAAAAGCAGCAGCATGCTGACAAATGGGTGTCATGCCTATTAAATACATGTTTAGAAACTGTAGATGGATGCAAGAGACTAGTCCACTATCTACACCCAACCGTGGTCAACATATCAATGGCTTACTCCCTTATTTCTTCAGGTCTTTGGCTCAAATGTCATTTATCAGAGATATCTTCCCTAGCCATCCAGTGTAAAGTAGCAATCCTGATTCCCTATGCCTCTCTGAGATATTTTCTGATGCTTCTTTCCAGGGAACTAACATCCTTACTGTGATGAGATGCTAGTGAAAGGTGCAGAAGTTTCCAATAAATAGACTGTGATAGAATCCTTGATTATTAAATAATGGAAAAATAAAACAACGCAGTAATTTGGACCTCAAGAGTGCCCTTAACAACTATTTTCCCCTAGTCCTTTCAGTCTCCTTAAAGAGACCTAACTCATAATGTCTCAGGCCTCTAATCCCTCTTCCTCCAGCTTTTCTGGCCTTGAAAATAGAAGCAAGGGGTAAAGAACTTCCACAGGTTCCCACCACCACATACACCCACCTGCTAGCCTTGCCCTCACTGTTTGCCCTCTTCCTGTGGTTTGTCCCTTGTCCAATCCCTCTATTTGTGCACTAGATCCCTTCTTTTCTTGCCTCCTTGAGGGCATTGCCCCTGCAAGACTCTCCTTTCACACCTACAGCATCAAACTGTCCTGAATCACCCCTACAAGAATACAAAACAAGCTTTAAAAACAAAACTCTTTACCATTTGTCCCCTCCTATAATAGCTTCATTCTGATTCCCTTTGCAGTAAGAAACTTCCTGGAATTATCTATATTCTGGCTTCAATCTCTCTCCAATTCTTTCTTTATTCTCGTATTCCCATTATGCACATTATGCACCTTTTGCAACTGCCTCACAGTTCTTAGATACTCTGTACCTTTTCTGTATCTTTTGTCTTTCATTCCTTTTCCTCTTTAAATTTCAGTTTGGGACATTTCTATTGACATATCTTCAAGTGCAAGGTTCTTTTTCCAGCAGTGTTAAGTCTACCCATGAACCCATCAAAAGCATTAATTTCTGATAGTTTTTATATCTAGCATTCCTTTTCCATTATTTTTTTAAGTTTTCCATTTTTTGCTTATATTCCTCATCTGTTCCTGCACGTTGTCCATTTTTTCTATCAAAGACTTTAGCATATTCATCTTAGTTGTTTTAAATTCCCATTCTGATAATTCTAAAATTTCTGCCACATCTGAGTTTGATTCTGGTGCCTGCTTCATCTCTTCGGACACCAGCAAAGTAATTTTCCTTGAGGGCAGGCTTCTGTCCTGGAAACAAGTCTCTGGGGTTATTTCAAAAATTAGTCCCTCCAGCCCACCCCCCATCCCCACCAGCCAACACCGGACAGAAGCAGATTCGTTTGCCATCCTCAGAGTGGCAAGGGGATTGTGGGTAAAACCCACGTATGGGTGGGTCCCCTTCAAAGGAGCTCCCAGGAGGTTTCTTAAGTTGTAATAATTTATATGGTATGTGTTACAAATTGCTCCCCCATACTTTTAAACTCTAACTAATCCACACTCAGCCCCCTAGCAATTCATTTAAAGCCTAATTATTGCCTCCAGCAACTTCCACTTTGGGTAAGCAGACCTGTATTTTTTGCATTTTCCTGTCTTTCTAGTTTTTATGGAAGTTTGCCCTGTGACCTCAATTCTCTGGTGGAGCTAAGAAAAGCTGATTTTCAGTTTGTTCATTTTATTTATTACTGTGAAAATACTCTGTTCTTTCTCAAACACACTCCAGATTTTCATCTCCTCCATTAAAACAGCACTTGCCAAGGTCACCAATGACCTCTAAATGGACTGCCAAGTCAATTCTCAGAGCTCGTATTACTTGATTTATTTGCAGTATCTGACACAGCCGACCACTCTGTCCTTCACATCTGATGTGGCTTCCAGGACATCACACTGCTGGTTTTCTTACTTCACTGTCTCCTTTGCTGGTTCCTCATCACCCTGAATTCTTAGCATTTGGAGTGTCATAAGATGCAGTCTTCAGATCTCTTCTCTCTTAAAACTCACTCTCTTGGTAATTTCATCCAGTCTTACAGCTTTAAATATCATCTATACATTGACTCCCATATTTACATCTCCAGCCTGATATTTACATCTCCAGCCTCCCGTATTTCTCTCTCTCCCTTGAAAAGCAGAATATCCAACTGCCTACCTAACATCTCCACTGAGATAACCATTAGACATAGCAAATTCTTCTGTCCACAACTCAAGTCCTCTGGCAAACCTCTGCTACCTATAGGTTTCTCCATATCGCCTATTCACAAAGACCTAGAAATAGACTGATGTCTCATCTTCTCACATTATATGTCCAATCTATCAGGAAATCCTGTTAGTTTTACCTTCAAGGAAGTACAGAATCTGAATATCTGTCAAGATTCCAAGTGCTGGTACACTGGTCCAAGGCACCTGCACGTCTCACCTGAGTTACTGCAGTCATTTCCTAATTAATCTGTTTCTGCCCTTGCTCACCCTGTTCCCTCATACACCAGACACTATCACACTTCAAAGTCCTCCAAGGGCTTCCATCTCAGAGTAGAAGCCAAAGTTCACCCAAGGCCCAGGCAGTCTGCAGCACCACCCACTCCCATCCCACCTCTTAATGCTCTCCCTTTCTCAGTCTGCCTAAGTCCTTACTGGCTACTATGCCGTTCTCGGGGTCCTCTAACACGCTCCTATCCCAAGGGCCTTTGCTTCTGCTGTTCTCTTTGCCTGGACTCTCTTCTCACAGTGTCCACAAGGTTCACTTCCACACTGCCAAGCCTTTGTTCAAGGGCTATGCTGATGAACTCCTCTCCACTCTTTAAAATTCCAACATCACTCAGCCTCCCCAATAGCCTCCCCTATTCCTTCTTCCAACTTTTCTCCATGGTGCTTATCTTCTGAAAAATCATGTAATTTTCTTAGTGTCTGTTTCCTTCCACCAGAATTTAAGTTTTACAAGGGCAAGGAGATTTATATCTGCTTTAATCATGGCTACAGGCCTATTGTGAGGTGTTTCATAAATATTCATTAAATGAGTGAACAAATACTAGGAAACACAACAAGTCTGTATTGGAATGGGATTGAAATTAAGACACACAATCATCTCTTATATTTATATGCATTTAGGTTATATTAATATTAGTTTGTTGATTCAATGAAGAAAATAAGAGAGTCAAGGAAAAGAAATAACTATGCTGACTGTACTTACCAATTTAGGCATCAGATCTCACTAAGTTTTCAATGTGCACAATGCTCTCCAAAGCATCCTCTGGCTCAGAGAAATATGGTACTATTTGGAGTGGTAAATCTTCAGGCTACTTGAGTAATTATGCAGACACTAGACTATAGGTGCTCAAAGCTGATATTATAAACAGCTTTCTGACCACAACCTCTCAACCTGGCCTGCAGGCCAGTGTTTACTTTTAATAAGCCAAAATTCAGGGAACACACTACTTAGCCACTCTCACCAATATGAGATGGCACCCCAGTTTAAAATTCCTTGGTCTTAGATATAACTTAAATTTCTTCACTTCAGTGGTTTCAGGCAAGCACTACTATCAGGTGACATTTTAATATCACATCACAATTGGATGTCAACTATGGTTCAAGTACAGTTTTAAGTGGCCCTACAGTCTTTGGTAATACTGCTGTTCCTGCCTTGCTGGTATCATCAGATGTTATTCTACCTAGCAAAGTGTATAACAGACTGTAATGAAACACAATGAGAAAAATTAAAATCCCAGAAATATGTCTGTTTCTACAACAAAATACTACCCCTGTCATAACCAGTTATTGCATTTATACCATGGGAACTATTGCCACCTGCTGGTGATGCTTATGACTTACTTTAAAAATTAATACATGTTAGGCTCTCCAAAATTCCAGTCAAAATTTTGAAATCCCCTTCTAGATCAGGCAACCATATGAAGGACTTTATGATTATCAGATTTGATTAATTTTCTCTTAAAAAGTAGGCATATTAATGAATTTCTAATGTAAATGAGAACAACAAGAAAAAATGAGAACCCTCTTTACTAAAAAATGACCTTGTTGATAATACTATAGGTCTGGGAATATGGCTGCCAACTGTTTTCTCTCTTACCCATCTCCTCAACAGGAAGGCGCGCAGCCACTAGATGCTCACTCATTCAATTCAGTATTTAGCTGAGGTGGCAGGGCTCATCTTCTCACACTAGCGCAGAGCCTCTGTGAGTCCAGATGACCCACAAGTCTGATCAACTTGTCCAATGTTTAATGATTTCCTTATGAAACTGAGCAGAAAAATGACCATAACAGGCACACAGCCTAAAACTCCAGAGATAGCCAGTGTCCTCAGAAAAAAATAGAAAAAGAGCTCAACCAAAAAAGAACTTCACTGATTTTCTGAGCCTACCTAGAACAGGTAATCAGTCTTCAGGAAAAAATTTTTGGCTTCTGACCAATACAGGTTCATTAAGATACAATGTTTATGTAATATTACTAATAAAAATGTGATAGCCGAGAGGAGTCTAAGGAGACAGGATGACTAAAAGTAATATGTGGTATCCTAGATGGGATCCTGGAACAGATAAAATTGTCTAGGAAAAAAAAAACTAAGGAAATTAGAAGTATACAGACTAGTTAATAACACTGTTCATTAAGTGTGACAAATGTATCATAGTAATATAAGATGTTAAGAATAAGGAAATGAAAAAAAAAAAAAGGAATAAGGAAATGTTTCGCCTTCCAGTGCAGGGTTTGCAAGTTCAAACCCTGGTTGGGAAGCTAAAATCTCACATGCCCTGAGGCAAAAAACCAAAACATAAAACAGAAGGAATACTGTAACAAATTCAATAGACTTTAAAAATGGGTCCACATTAAAAAAAAAAAAAAAGGAAATGGGTGTAGAGTAGATGGGAACTCTGTACTATCTTTGTAATTTTTCTGAACATCTAAAACAAAACGTTTACTTTAGAAAAAATGAATGAGACAAGATTTACCTCAAGTGACAAAAGCAGGCCCTTAAGTTGATTCAGTCCCAAGCTTTAAAAGTCACAAACGCTTTATATTGACTTAAAAAGTTATTTAGCAGGTTGTTTTCATTTATCAGTTCTAGATCTAAACCTTTTCTATAAAATCAAGGGATGCACCCTCTTCAAAATTGCTTTAGCAATCTTCAAAGAGATCCTCCTCTGCTTTCTCATTCCCATCAAAAGGACTCATAAGGTCCATATCAATTTATGGCAAATCTCAGCCCAACTGTAAAAAAGGCCTTCATCCTGAAACTAACACAACACTGTAAATCAACTGTATTCCAATAAAAATTTTTTAAAAATTCAAAGGAACTTAACAATTCACAGAATGAAAATTTCCAAAAATTATACTCATTAGTAATCAATGTGTATGCAAAAAAATTTTAATTGTGTGCCATTTTGCCCTATCAGGTTGGCAAATTATAAGTAAATTAAAAAAATAAATAAAAATAAGACTTTATAAGTCCTACTGTCTTTGTGAAAATTAAAGGGTGAAGATCTTGTACCTAAAGAAAAACACTCAGTTGAACAAACAAGTCTTTGAGGTTAAGGACCTGTTGTGTTTTTTTTAAATCATAGAGAAAAATCCTGTCATTTCTTTCACAAAACTAAGACGTCTTTCCTACTTTCAATACATCATGAACATAATGTCCAACAGCCCCAAATAACCCCTAGCAACATCAAATTAGCCCATGAACCTAAGAGCTCCTGAGAGGCTACCAGTGAAAGGTAGGAAATGAACAATCTTACCCCGTCATTGAGAAGAGCCAGTCTTCTTAAGTATGTACTATACGTAATTAGTTGTTTTAATTTTCATTTATCTTCAACTTATTTTTTAAGTTAACTTTAGCTCTTATATAAAATGTGCTGAACTGAAGTCCATGTAGATTAAACAAAATATGGGCCCTAAAATCTAAGTTCAGTCACAAGCTTAGGTAAAAGAGGAGATGCTGTTCCATCACTTTCTTCTGCTCACTTTAAGAATATGTGTTATACACCATATAGTTTTTAAATGTGATCATTGCCTTGGTGACAGAACACACAGCAGCAACTCTGCTCTAATTATAAGACAAGTTTTAAATAATTTTTATTTTTAAGATTTAGCATCCTCATTGACAATCCAGAAACAGTCCGTGCTCTTTGGATACACACATAAAATGGTTAAAAGTGATTCCCCAATTTTCAATGACAAGGTAGGAAAAAAGAACATGTTCACAGCTATAGCTCAATTCTTCTGTCCTTTTTACCAAAAATCTTATTTTGCTACCAACCCACTCACCAAACCATAAGGAAAGGCAATTTTTCAAAAAGCCAACAAAACCCAAGAACAGGGATCTGGGTACCAAGCCAAAATCATCCCCTGGAACAGTGCTGATGCCAAAAAAAAAAAAAAAAAAGAGGATAGGAAAACAAATTTCCATAGCACAATAGAGAAGCCCTTTAAAAAGAATTCAGAAACTTAGCACTGGAACTATGGTGGTGCAGTGTTCAAAACGCAGATAATTAAAGTTCAGCTTGGGAACATATTAGGCTTTCTCCTATCCCAGCAGGGGAAATAAAACTATGAGCTTTTGGAGCGAATATTAAAATTGTCCTTACCAATGAAAGACAGGGCAAGGGTCAACCGGAGAGAATGTAGAACAAAAGGTAGCAAAGACAAGTCATTCTGAATCTAAGCTCTACTGCCTAGAAGAAACAGCAAAGTTTAAAAGGGCTGAAATTCTTCTAAGCCACTATCAATAAATTCCAGACTTGGCTCAAAACCAGTGGACTATAGACCACTGATAAATATATCAGGTGACCTACAGTGTTTATGTACTAAAAAATATTTTTAAAATTATCTGTAAACTTCTATTCTGAAAAGCAGCAGATCAAAATGACACTGGGCCATCCAATCAGTTAGAAAGTAAAGGGCTTCCTCCAAATAAAATCAGCAGAAATTCAGGTTGGAAAGAATGTAATATGAAGTAAATAAGATCAGGCTCTCGGCACAATTTTAGTAAGGCTTCTACCCACCCCAGGTGTTAAGGAGTACTACTGAGACAGCTCCCACAGAATGTCTTAGAGGGATGCTTCTCAGAGATAAAAAGGTCTTTAACTCTTGACCCATCTCTCTTTCCCTAAAGCTTGGAGAAGAAAATAAATATTTAATTTTTAACTATTCAAAGCTTCGGGCACATTGTAATATTAATATTTTCTATTTTTCATTTTCTGAACCTTTGGCTTAATACTTTTTCAATTATGCTGTGATGAAAAAATGTATACATGTGCCTTAATCAGTAGTACCACGTGAAAATAAAACCTTATTCCTCCATATCTTCTACACAGGAAGACTGAATCAATGGCACCCTAAATATCCTGCAAAGTTACTCTGTATACTTGACAAAAGATTAGGGCAAACCATTCCACTTCCATATCTTGAGCAGTAGAAGTTAATTAGTCTTCAATCTCATCTTCCCAAATATCTCCATTAACATCCACAGCATGGAACAACCTGGACGCATAAAACAAGGTGCATTTTAGTATACCTGATAGAAACTGAATATAATTTCTTTCCTTTTTTCAAATATATTTTCTGCACTATTCTGATAACATCTTTGTATATCTTTTCCTTTCCTTTAATTATTCTACTGGGAAGGGCTGAAATGTGAATCCCTCTAAACAAGCTACCTTAAAGTTTATAGGAACAACCCTTTTTTAAGGATCCAGACAACTCTCAAGGGCCAAGGAGAGACGACAGTGGGAGACAGGTATCACAAAAACTGACACTCAATGTGTATAATATGTGGAATAAGTCAAGATTGAAAAATTCAGGCAGTCTAGAAGCTACACTCCTTCAAAACACTGTAACTTTACTACATACTAATCACTCCATCCTTTCCATCTTCACTGTGCTTGTACTCTCCACCAGTAGAATGTTTTACAGTTGCCAATTTCTTTTCCTCCTCTTATGTTACTTAGCATTTGCATTTTCAACACTTTTATTTCCAGTGGTTCATAGGCAGAGCTGGTTTCTTCAACTCATAGTTTCATAACGTCAAGAACTGATTGAAGGTACCCCACAGATGTCTATTAACTAAGACTATCAACTGATGTTGAAACTGAAGCTGGTGGAGAATAGAATATTCACACTGTGCCAAGGAATCACCCCACAGATCACTCACTAATAACAAAAGAAAAACCTTACCTTTACAGTAGAACAAATGATAGAAGTGAACATCATGCTAATAGTGAGAGAGCCTGACATTATGGATCTGACATGATACAACATGAAGTACACCACCTCTTGTTAAGTATTCCTGTCAAAAATGTTGCTCTAAATCTAGTCAAACTCCATTCTACAGCTAACTTCCACTTTACAGAAAATAGAGAGGAAAGAGAAGCAAACTAAAAGGCACCATGGAGAAACAAAACTCCAGGAGGTAAGGTTATATAGGACAACAGCCTGGACTCTTCAAAAGGTCAATGTTCCACTCAATACAAACAAACAAAAAGTGGGTAATACTTTTCTCTATTATGAAACAGAATCAAATAAAATAATTAAACTTGATTAGATCCTGGAATAATAAAACAGCTTTAAAAGATATTTTTATGAATAGCTGATAAGTCTTAAATATTTTATTAGATGACAGTATGCCATTGTTAAATTTTTTGAGGTATTACTGTTACGTACAAGACTTTTCTTATCTTAGGAAAGATGTGTGGAAGTATATAGAGATGACACACCATATCTCCAACTTATGGTCAAGTAGTTAAGCAATAAATTTAGAAAACAAATATGGTAAATATTATCAATTGTTCATTCTGGTGAAAGATATAGTCTATCCTTTCAACTCTTCTGTATGTTTGAAATTTTTCACTAAAAAAGTTGAGGAGGATAATAAATTAAAGAAAATCTTCAGATAGTATATTTTCATCATAAAACTCATTTTCAAGAAAATGCATATATGGGGAAAATATATTAAAAAATATATGAAAGAAAATATAAGAAAATATTTAAAAATATAAGAAAATCCTCTAAATAAACAAAGTACCAAAGCTAAAACTTACTGGGCTCGTGGTCTGCAAATCAAGTACCAAAAACTGCTGAGACTAGGAGTTCTGTGTAAACGTACCGGTTATAACATGGGGAAGCAGGATCAGTGAAATGTTTATAAGGGTGTGCTCTGGAAAGAGAACCCATGCAAATCCAGCAGAAATACTGCATACAGCCAGTACATGTCATCTTGTTACATCCATCTAATTTCTGGTGGGAAAGAGAGAAAAATATCAAGGTTGTAAAAGCAAAAGAGAAATGCACTTGACAAAATGATTTGGTACAACATTCTCATCGTCTCCCTTTTCTAATGCAGGGTTGAGAAACACAGGTTAACACACATTGGTACATTGGTAAATATTAATGCCTAAACTCTTTGGCATTACAAGTGAAATACAGGAAATACTTAGATACTAAGCAACATCTCTTCTGATAAACAGTAAAAACAATCCAAACATGTATACGTGAATTATGTAGTTAGACTGATATGAAAATGTTTGGCTTTAATATGTGGGATTTAAACTTTTTACATAAATCTAAGTAAACATTTGATACCCAAGTCTCCCATTCTATCAGAGCTGAGGCATGTCAAAGTGGTTCAATAGAAGGCCAGTTTCCTCAGTGGAGTAATTAGGGCATCATCATCCAGGTTAGCTCAGATATAATGGATTGGAACAACAGAATCAAATGCAAAAACATATATTTTGATTTTAAACCTTTTTAAGGTTTTGTCAAGAAGCAATAGATTTATCTGTCTATTTTGACTTATATCTGTATTTCATAAGCAGGAACTTGTTAAAAAGACGTGTTAAATTCCAGGATAAATAGTTTGGAGAAGTCAGCCTTTTTTTAAAAAAATAATAACATAGATGAGTTGAGTTGACTATAGCTCTAGTATGGCCTCTTCATAACTCATTCAATTTTGAGGTGGATACAAGGTGAGAAAAACCATCACTGTAGGAAAGCACTCTGAAAAGGGAAGTCTACATATATTTAATATCAGTAACAATAATTAGTAGTAAATTTGAATCTTCCAAGAAGGTTTAATAAGTACCAAAATGTGTTTTCTTAATTAGTTCAAAATTAAAAGGCTTCTTGAGGAAATCATAACATGCTTGCAAGTAGGTAGGTCTCCAAGTCTGTCCCCAAACTTTTACCTCAATGGGAGTTCCACAACATGGGCAGCTCTTTGAGTTCTTTTCTAGCCACTCCTTACTTTCCATCTCTTCCAGTGCCTTCTGAATCACCCTCTTACCATACCTCTGTTCCAAAAATCTTTTATTGGCCTCATCTGCTTGCAGGTACTCATTTCGTAAGTCCATTAATTTTTCTAGAAGGTGAAATGGAAAATTAACTTTTATACAACTTGTAAAGCTCATTAAAAATCATTAAAAATTATCATAACCTTTGACTATTCAATAATGTTATTCTTGGGATTTTATCATAAGGAATTAATCCAAAGTAATATTATATGCAAAGAGACACATATAACAATGGCAAACAAATTAAATATCCAAGAGAATAATTATGTGTAGAACCACTTAATGACATAATATTTAGTTATTAAAACTTATAATTAGGATGGCTTCAACTCAATTAAAATACTCATTACAGAAGCCAGCAAAAAGTATATTTAGGTTGTAACTAGCTAAAAATTACACATGCATGAAAGACAAAGAACAGACAGGAATTCTCCAAGTAGAAAAGCTGGACTTCTTAAATGTGACAGAATAATAGCTTATCTTTTTCCTTTGATTTTAACTTACTAATGTTGACATTTTTGTGCAACTAGTACAACTAGTAGTACAGTTTAAAGGCTGACTTATCAAATAACACAAAGGTTGAAACAGACATTGATTTTCTACTATGTCAGCATCATTCACCATTTAATAATAAGACCTGCCAAACTAAACAAAAGCACCTTTGATTTAAGGGCAAAGACCAATGGTTCAATTCTGCATATATAAGAAAAAAGCCAGTGAATAAAATTTACCACCAACAGGTAAAGGAAAAGTCCTTTCTACCAACTTTTCTGCTTAATTCTCAACAATCTGGTTTCTACTGCTTTATCACATGGAATGGGCAGCTATTTCCAAAGGCTTTATTTGTCAACAAAGGCTTCTGCTCACAATTCTATTACCTTAACTTTTCAACACCATTAATTAAAGACCTCTCTCAACAATGTTCTGGCTCTTTTACTATTTTACCCTCCTCATATTATTTAGAAGTAGACAACTTCTGGAGCAGAATTATATCTGCATTTTTCCTTCACCTATGAATCCTTTCTGTGTTGTTCATTCCCATGACTTCAACACTTCTACTGGGATGCAGCAGACATGTATTTTTAAATCCTTTCATTTGTATTTCCTCTACTAGTTCAAAGCGTTTTTGTATTCCGAGACATCTTAAGGACAGAGGATGCTGCTCTAATGTTCTCAAAATAATAAAATTATTAGTGTATCATATATTTTGTATGGTAATATCTAACATATAGATAAAGAGATTAAGAAAGAGATTCCCAATTTTGCTGAAGCCCCCAAAGTCTATCTTTGATTTCTTTCCCAAACATTGTGAAATACCTGGAAGGTACTTCAGCCTCTCAATGATAAGGATACCAAAGTCTCAAGTAAAGGCTTATATTATACTCTGGTGAGTTCTCCATCCCATCTGCCCATAACCTCTACAAGACTCTGCCACAGGTGACTGGAAGTACTCCATTTACTCATTCTCCTGTCAGGGTCCTTTCTTGGAGATGATACTCTGCTAACAATCAGTAACTAGCAATACTGGCATTAATAGTTACCATTTTGTGGTTTAAAGACTTAAATCTAACACATAACACCATAAAACTTTCAGAAGAGAACAGAGGCAAAACATTTTCTGACCAAGGTAATAGAAATAAAAGCAAAAATAAACAAATAGGACCTAATCAAATTTAACAAGCTTTTGTTCAGCAGAGGAAACCATCAATAAAAAGAGATGGTTCAGGAGAGAGTATTTGCAAATGATGCAACTGACATGGGCTTAATTCCCAAAATATACCAACAGTTCATACAACAAAACAGGTCAACAACAAAAACAACTCAATGGAAAAATGGGCAAAATAACTATGAATAAATAGACATTTCTCCAAAGAAGACAAACAGATGGCCCAATAGGTACAGAAAAGATGTTCAATACCACTAATTATTAGAGAACTACATGTCAAAACTACAATGAGGTTCCACCTCACAGCAGTGAAAATGGCCATCATTAAAAAGTCTACAAATAACAAATACTGGAGAGGGTGTGGAGAAAGGGGAATCCTCCTACACTGTTGATGGGACTGTAAAAGGTGCAGCCACTATGGAAGTCACCTTGGATGTTCCTTAGAAAACAAAAAACAGAATTACCAAATGATCCAACAATCCTACTCCTGGGTATATATCCACATAAAACTATAATTCAAAAATATACCTGCACTCCTATATTCACAGCAGCACTATTCACAATACCCAAGACATGGAAACTACCTAATGTCCATCAACAGATGAATGAGTAAGGAAGATGTGGTACATATGTACAAAGGAACACTACACAGCCATAATAAACAATGAAATAAAGCCATCTGCAATAACATCAATGCAGCTAGAGATTATCCTACTAGTAAAGTCATAAAGAAAAAGACAAATACCATATGATGCCACTTATATGTGTAATCCAAAATATGACACAAATGAACCTATCTACAAAACAAAAACAGACTTGTAGACATAGAGAACAGACTGGTAGTTGCCAAGGAAACCAGGAGTGGGATGGATTGGGGAGGTTGGGGTTATGCAAACTGTTATATATGAATGGATAAACAAGGTCTTACTGTATAGCACAAGGAACTATGTTCAACATCCTGTGATAAATCATAATAAAAAAGAATATAAATATAAAAAAGAATGTACATATATGTATAACTGAACCACATTGCTGTAAAGAAAAAATTAGCACAAATTATGCATCAATTAACTTTAAAAATAAAAATAATATACAAATTAAAAAAAAAGTTACCATTTTGCATTTCACATGCAATAAAAATGAATAAAAAGACCAAAAATATAAGCCTAAATTTTTATTGTATTTGATTGACATAAAATTTAGTCAGTGGCCAGCAATAATGAAATTGCTACAAAAGTTTTAAACCTCGACTCTCAGTTTCTGTATTTACCCTGTCACTGACCAGTATAACAACTATAACAACTTTGAGTAGCACTACAATAGGTCATTTCAAACTTACAATAACCTTATGAAGTAGCTATTATCATCAGCCCTGTTAGTTTGAGAAAGACTAAGTCACCAAAGTCTAGTCAAATTGATGTCAAGGGCCTGATTTCTCAATCCTTATCTAAATCAGAAATGGCTAACAGGTTTCACTTCCTGTGCCTACCTCAATAGAGGGTGGCTTTCTAAAGCACTGTGTTGAGGAAGATTCTGAGGCCTCGTGGGCTCACTGAGAAAGCACTTAATCAAATGTGTGCACCATGGAAACAACAGTGATAGCTCAGATGCTCTGCATTTGCCAGGATCTACATTATTCCATATTCATAGATAGAATAGAATATGCCATTCCTTCCATAGAATGCTCCCCCTCGGTATCTGCATGGTTTGTTTCCTTACTTCCTTCAAGTCTACTCAAACCACTCTGCCTGCTGGGTTTTTCTAAATAAAATCCCAAACGCCTTCCCCTTCAGAACACTTCAGAGCAGACTGTCTCTGCTTTACTTTTTTTTTCCTCTTCAGCACTTACCACCATCTAATATTCTTATTTATTTGGTTTGCCTATCTCCCCCATTAGAATGTAAGTTCCATGAGGGCATTTGGTCACTGCTATGTTCCCAGAAGGTAGGCAGTAACTGACACAAAAATATCTGTTGAACCAACATAGAAGAACACAATTCTCCCAAATTAAGAATTGAAGTGATAAGTCTCTTTTCTAGGGGGTGGAGGAGGGCTGGGAGACTGAGTTCACATGGTTACAACCTACCTGCTGTTACCTTACATGGAGAGACTCCGTGGTAGGTCAGTCTGCACAGGGTACAGAAGGCAAAATTGCAGCTGGAGCAGATGCCCATGGTACAGCCAGGCTCCTGCATCACAGGCATCTGGCAGGATGGGCGGGGGCAGTACACCACATCGGCCATCAGGTCCAAGGTGGACTGGAGGAGAAGGCGGTCATAACGGGCAAACAACTCTGCTTCCACTAGCTCTTTGACCTTGAGGGAAACATAAACATCGTTAAGTTTGATGATTTCCCAACCAGTTCTGATCCTGAGGGAGATCTTTAGGAAGCAAGCATAAAAACCAGATGAACAGAAAATAAAACCCTATATCTCACTTCAAAATCAAACCAAGTATGAGTGAGTGAGTCAGTGAAAGTGGCTCAGTCGTGTCTGACTCTTTGCGACCCCATGGACTATACAATCCATGGAATTCTCCAGGCCAGAACACTGGAGTGGGTAGCCTTTCCTGTCTCCAGGGGATCTTCCCAACCCAGGGATCAAACCCAGGTCTCTTGCATTGCAGGTGATTTATTTACCAGCTGAGCCACAAGGGAAGCCCAAGAATACAGGAGTGGGTAGCCTATCCCTTTTCCAGCAGATCTTCCTGACCCAGGAATCAAACCAGGGTCTCCTGCTCTGCAGGCAGATTCTTTACCAACAGAGCTAGTACGGGAAGTCTATATCTTGACTGAGACGGTGGTTAAATGTACACTTTAAATGAGTACATTTATGCCTCAAAGGAGCTGATTTTTTTTTTTAAAAAAAAGAAGAAACAACCAAGCAGGCTATCTTTAAAGTCTGTAAACATTTGGTTAATCATCCCAAGGGATAACCCCTCCAGATCCCAACCTCAACACAGACTGGGTAGTAGTTCCCCCTCTTAGCAGATAATACAGAGTAAATCACCAGAATTATTTTTTTAATGCTCATCCTTGCCAAGGACCACCCATTCCAAAGCCAGCAAAGGGAGCATTTACATTTGTTTAGATAAAGATCATGGACAGAATAAAACTGGTGGGCTGGCTCCAAGGCCTCAGACTGCCCTGACGAGCCCTATCAAGAAGTTCCTGAGAGAATGCCTCCCTTTGGAGAGTTGTGAGAGAATTAGGGAGCAGCTGTCAGCGGAGTGAAGAGTTACCTGACCAGGAGTGGCCACTGAAGGGCACTTGGGTTCTGGGCAGTTGAGGCACTGAACTTGGCCATCTCTGATCTGGATTTCAAAGTAGTCCTTGAGACAGGCTTTGCAGTACACATGCCTGCACTCCAAGAAGTACATGCACTCACTACCCAGTTTCTCACAGAAACAGATATTGCACAGGAACAATTTACTATTAAAGCATTTTATCTGCTGAGCTTGATCAAAGTCCAAGATTTCCTGGATCAGACTCGACAATGATTCCACATCCTGCACGGCTCTCTCGTCCACAACTTCCTCTTGGTCTATGTCAGATCCAGTGGCTCCTCCAAAATCTAGTTCTGTGTTGGAAGAAGCTTGAGCCATCCTTCTCTGAACCTTTTTCTGAGAACCCATCGTGAGTTCAAAAGGAGAGACAATATTCAGGTATGCTAAGGTCTCTTCCTTAAGGAACTGCATCCAGGCAAACAGGACCACGCTGCCACGGTGTTCTTCCCACAGGTTGTCTAAGTGCTTGCAGAGAGCAGAAAGCTAGGGGAAAAACACATGAGGATGCTGTTGAGTTTGGAAAGATGATGCTGCTGTCAACTCCTAATCTACCTTGAAATCTTTTAATTTAGACCTTTATACTTCCTGTTAGGAAGTAGAAAGTATTCTTTTCACTTCTGTGATAAACTGTGCTGCACAATAGCATCGGTGTTCTTATCAAAGTACTTCTTAAACTATTCAGCAACATGAGCCAAAGACACAAGGTCAGAAGCTAAAAGAAGCCCCATAAAACAAGAGAAACAGTTAAGAGTCTACCAGACGTAGAACAAGGTTTACGTATGGGCTACTGAAATGGAGGACTTTTTCTGTTCTTTATTCTTTACTTTAGTATTGCTACCTATCTCATGTAGCAGAAGAGATCTAGTTTTAAAATGAACTATTTTTAGTCCTTTGGAGTATGAGCCCTGTTGGTACCCTACAATAAAGATTAGCAAAAAACAATTTAAAAATACCATCCAAGCTTTAAAATTAATTCTTTCAGCTGTATCAAGAAGTCAACTTATGTGAAAAAAATCACTAACAGAATCTAACCTCAGAGTCCTTGTTATTCCAATTTATAAGCTGATTTTAACTAAGCAATCTGAGCTCACACCAGATCTTGGTTAATAGAGGAAAGCAGATTGAACCTGGACATGATTACAAGCCCTTAACATGATTTCACTGCCATAGGCAAAGCTCACATTTCCTAAGTTACGCAACCGAAGTTTAAACTATTTTGACTTTTCCTCCTTAAAATTGGTCTGTTCAATTTGAAAGGCAAATATAAGAAGATTTTTAAGTAGAGCTCAGGCTCATAAGCAGCTTTTCTTTTTAGGTAAACATCAAAGAATAAGCCTTCCAGATGCAAATAAATTTTGTAAATTTGACATCTGAAGTGAAAAAGAACCACATTCTCTTCCTTACACTGCATAATGCTATTCACTAAACTCTATATGGGCACAAAATTAAACACTGTTCAAGACTGGACAACAAATGCTTTTACACATTTGCATAAATGTGCTTTCATGATCAGTAAGAAACCTAAGGAAATCTTTAAAATGTAATAAATACTAAAAGGGAAGCTCTGAATGTTTGAGTCACCAAGTCCAAGGAAGAAGTCATTCTCCTCCATCCTCTTTTCTTCTCTAGTCCTTTCTCGAAAGAGGTATCTGAGATGTACATACATGTGAGGGACGAGGCAGGCAGAAAGAGAAGAGCATGAAAGACACTGTTTGTATATATATATTGGAAAAGAAACAGGGAAAATACTAGAAAACTAAACCCACTTCTATCAATCAAACAAATTCAGTGAGGAACAGGTCCATGCGTCAACTTCATTATCAACAGGAGCAACTCAAAACGCCAAGGAATCGGGGCCCGGTAACAAACAAGAATTGAAGGAAGAAGGAGCATAGGAAACAGATTAAAATGTCAATTATATGGACAAAAATTTACTTGACAGAGAGTCCTACTATAATTTTAGCTATGTAACATAAAATAATGAGCAACTCTCTTCTCCCTACACCCTAAAAGCCAGCATTAAGTAGATGCTATTTGGTTGGAATCTGAAACTCCACATGTGTACACATGCATGAACATAAAGTATCAAGAGCTCTCTGGAGAAATGGGACTATAAATGTCTAGATAATTTAGTCAACTCTCAGTGATCTAAATATAAATAATCCACTGTCTTGCATGTGTTGCCTCTGACAAAGATATTAAAATGCAAGGTGAAACTCCTTTTTATTCTACATGTATTATTTTTTTAATTTAATTTTTTTTTAAACTCTTAAGTTCAATTTAACAAATGCACTCTCATCTAAGGATCGGCCTGGTGATGAACAGTGGTAGGAATGAGAATTACATGGTCAAAAAAGAAAAACTGACAAGCTGTTCCTTGAGGTCAAGTAACTCTGACAGCTTTTGTCTTAATACATCAGCCTATCAATCTTCATCATGACTTCTAGAAAAGTAACTGCTATTGATCCATTATCTACTCCAGAATACATTATATTAGCTTCAAGCCATATTTATGTCTCAATCAAGAGCTGACGTTGTTACTAGAAAAGGATATACGACTCAGAGGAAATGACAGCTCGTAATATAAGATCTCAAGCCTTAATGAGATATCTACAGGAATCATATGCACTTTTATTTGTGTGCATTCACATTACGTGAGCACAGTCAACAACTGTTGCTAATACACAGACTTTTACAAACAAAAGCGCTCTTATGTGTTCTTAAGGAATGTTTATTAAGCTACATTAACTCAATTTGAGTCCTAATTACAATGAAATCTTTCATTTAAGGAATGGATAAAAAAATAAAAAGCAATACCAACATCTGAGGAAAATGAAGAGGACCTATAGTCTCCATTACAATACCGATTAAATGGGAAAATAGCAAGAAAAGGAGAGAAACAATATACTTGATTAAAAATTACTCCTACTGCAATTCAAAATGATTAATCATTCAATTATTGCCATTCCTTTCTAAAACACCAAACATTTTCAACTTATTAACATTACAATTCATGAAGGGAAAAAATTACAACATCAAGCCCATTCTTCATGCACTGAATTCAAGATCATCAAGGTAGTCTTCAATTAAAGATGATTTTTTAAATTTCTAAAAATGGATAGAAATTAAGTTTCGGGTCTAACCTGAGTTGGTGACAGCCATTTGCCACTAAGAGTGAATGAAGGTGGGGAGGAGGATGGATAATCTGGTGGCAGTTCAAAGTTCAGCACAAGTGGAGGCAGAAAGCAAATGGTGTATTCAAAGCCACTATTCTGGAGACACTCATTTGAATTGCCTGAACCAAAAACAAAGATTAGAAAGGATCAGCTGGTCAACACTTGAGTGTCCATTACTGCTGAGCAGTGCTCAAGAAAAACGTAATGCTTTAGTTGAGGGGATAAAAACCCTCCCCCAAAGCACTTTCTGTTCTTAATTTTACTTTGGAGCCACCACCTTACAAAAATGTATAAGCCCTTAAAAAAAATCTACTAAGCATCATGAAATTTAAAATGAAGATATACAACTTATTCTTGCTATACTTCTGAGTATAATTCCTAACACTAGTGAGCAAGTAATACACAATGTTTTCTTTGTTGTTTTTTTATAGTAGATGATTAAAGACACAATCTAGAGAAAAAGACATTATTTCTATCAAAAAGCCATGACCTACTTAGACAAGCATGTGCCAACTCCAATGAATCAGATTTGGGAGAATTTATGCCAATGCAATGATCTCAGGCTGAGGGCAAGCTACAACATAGAACACCCTCACAATCAAAGTTTCATTTTCAGTTATCACACTTCCTTTCTTTACTTAAAGCTATTACACTAGAAACATTGAGAAAGTGTTCATGTCTTCTGTGAATACGGTATCAAAAGTACTAGTTTTTAATTTTTTTCGGAAGCAAAAGGTCAGAGTAGTAGTGTCATGTGTTTATGGTGGTTGAAAAGATTCTAGAAACCAAATAGTATTAACAACAACCAAATCTTTCCAAGTGTTTTCACATATATTATTTCATTTTCTATTTTATTACCCCTATTTAACAGCCAATGACTCACAGCTGATGAACTGCTAGTTAGATGATCAGGAAGCATGAAATATGCAGGATAATATTTGTGATCAAAAAGGCAGAATTAAATTGAAAATTGTTCACCCTTTATTTTTAATTAAAACAGAAACAGGCATTAAATCTGTAATACTACCATCTATCACTAATGCCTATAAACACAAGATGATAAATAACTTAGGGTACACTAAGAAATTGAGAATAACCTTTATCTAGAAAAAATCTGTTTAAGAGAATGTTAACTAACCGCTCACAAATATCTTGAAATTTTGTGGTAAGTCCAAATGGATCCTGGTTTCTCCACCTTGGACAGACTCTGCTTTTCTAAATTCATCTCCATCATAAATACTTGTCAGGGCCAGCAATTCATCCTCCTGAGCTTCTCGGTCTTCTGACGACATTTAATTTTCTGAGGAGCTGAAGATAATCATTCAAGTCAGTTAAGAACAGAAAAGGCAGAGTCTGGAAAAGTCTAATGGCCCTCCCCCGCAACCCCATTCCCCCCAAAAGAAAGTTCCTCAAAAACAACTGCAAAGAATTAATCAATATTCTCACTTTTCTATCTAACTAAAAGTGACAGGCATATCTAATATTCCAGTAGATCAGCACAGTAACAGCCTTTTTCAAAAAGGACAGCTGTGGTTCTTATAATTGCTGACTTTATCAGTTAGGTATGATTTAGAAAAGAAAGCACAATAAAAAATTTTTTCAAGGACAATTCACAAACTACTTTGACTTGCTCTCTAAACTTAGAAAAGTGCCTTGCTCACAAAAGCAGTCAAGGTATATTTGATATTCTTCTTAAAAATAAATGAATTTTTTAAATCCACAGGAATCTCTACGGCAGGCTTTCTCAGCCTCAGTGCTACTGATGTTTTGGAACAGACAACTGTCATGGGAGGCTGTCCTGTGTATTAGAGGACATGAATCTGCATGTCTGGCTTCAACCTGCTAGATGCCAACAGAACGCCTTTTCCTCAAGAGTTGTGACAATCACAGACATCTCCAGACATAACCAAATATCCACCACCACCCTGCCACTGGGGAGGGGGAAGAAAATTGCTCCTACTTGAGAACACCCCACTCTAGAGACTGTTACAAGGATGCAAACATGTGAGACATAACTGAGGAAGCAGCAAAATAACATTAAATTTTTGAAATAATATCAAATCAACTTTAAGATTTACCACTATTTTAGGTAACACCAACAGTGAAAATATGCTATAATTAAACTGTACAAATGCTTTTTAATTACAGCAACTGAAAGATAAACCACAGTCAGATAATTCAAACATGCAAAAAGTATGTAGTGAGAATCTGTGAAAATTACTTTAATAAAACCACCACCAAAAATTACCATTCTATCGATTAAAATACTAGACTATAACTGTATTTGCAAATATGCTCCCTCTTGGTTGAAATATTTTCTAAATTGGAATGCACAAAGAAAAGTTAGGATGTGGTTTTTCACGTTATAAAAAGGTGACACTACAAAACTCAAATTCATTTAAAATGATTCCATTTTCAAAAAATACATTTTCTAGCAGATGATAATGTTTCTGCTTAAGCTGTGTCCCTAAGACACAGTGATATATTCTATTTAAGGTCAGTTAGTACCTGTTAACAACAACTAGAAGAAAAGGATATTAGCACTGGTATTTGTATTTCAGCCCCAAGTTTGGAACTCATGCAAATCTCATTTATTCTTAAGATGATGGAGATGAGACTGATGAAGGTGGACAAAAGGCCAAGATGTAGAACTCATACTAGATATACTAGAGAAATCCTGCCATCTGCAGAAAAAAAATACAAAAGATGGTGTTAGCACCCTCTCCAAATTTAAATTCTGAATTTCTGTAACCACCACTTAAATCAAGCACATCCTAACACACAGTCAATCCTAGTCTACAGCTGCATATTACTCACCTAGGTCAACCTAACTGAGCCATGCGGTTCAAAGGACGTGTTCCCAGTAATCAGAGTGCCCTTCTTATCTGACTGCCTTCAGCCCTGGGAGGAGCTGAGAACACCAAGGTCATACGAGATGACAGCACAACATGCCCCCATAACAAACCACTTCCTGCGGTTTTCTTGTTTTTGTTTTTCCTTTCCTCTTCCACTTCTTCTATTCCTTCATTTCCTACCCCTCCAGTTAGTCCTTTTGTCCGATAATGAATTAAGCCTGCCAGGGACACTCAACATTAGGTTAATTTAAGCAAGACAGCAGGGTAATTAAAAACAAAATAATAAAAGTGCTCACACACAAACATTTAAGTCCTATTCTAAATGCTTTACCAGGCTTCTTCAACTGGGAATAAAGGAGAAAGGGAGATTGGTCCATAGATGGGTTCTGGAGAATGCTATGAATACCGTAAAATATGCAAAAAATTTTTTAAAAATGCAAAAAATATAAAACAATAATTTTAAAACCATATTTTCAGATGTGTGACTCCCAAATAAGCTAACAATGAAATTTAGGATCAATTTACAGAAGGAAATGGCAACCTACTACAGTACTCTTGCCTGGAAAATCCCATGGACGGAGGAGCCTGGTTGGCTGCAGTCCATGGGGTCTCGAAGAGTCAGACACGACTGAGCGACTTCACATTCACTACTATGTATTATGTACTATATACTAAGTCTTTTCACATCACCTTACATAATTGTAAATGCCTTTTACCACCTGTAGTACATGGTGATAAAGTAATTAAGCTTTTTGCTTCTTCCTGTTCAAACATTATAAATGAGATGAAATGAATTTGTACCCAGGCTATACCCCAGAGCAATTCAATCAAACATGGGTCATCCAAGTTCGCCATGGTATCCTAATGTGCAGCCAGGATTAAGAAACTCTACTCCAAGCTGTTTCCCACTGGCAGCTCCTCATGACCCAACTCACCAGACCCCAGCTTCTGAAGCTGCCATGGGTCCCAGTCCCTTAATTAAAATTGCTGACATAAATTTGATTCTATTCATTCAGTCTTCAAGACCCACCTCCAAAGCCCCTATTCCATGTAAAACTTCCAATTAGCATGTCTTTCTTTAAAAATCCAGAAAACTTTTTTTTTATTGTAACTTTCCTATGACATTATCACACCCCATCCTCCATTACAGTTTTTCTTCTGAACTTGCGTTTCCTCTCTGACTAAATTAGTTCCTTAAGGGCGAAGATCAAGTGTCTTGCCTCTGCCTATATTGCTTTCAGAATCTAGCAGTGCTTTAGGTTAGACACTAGAAAAAGTGAGAACTGAACTGGGGTGAGATGTGGTTGCTGCATTGGGAGACTAGAATCAAGGTTCAGGGACTGCACCGCCACATCCCACCAGGAGCACGTTGGGTTGGTCGTCACAATAACAGCAAAAAGAGTGAACTCTTCCCATGTGTCAGACATTGTGGTAAGCCCTTTAAAGGCACTAACCCGTTAGATTCCCACAACCCCATGAAGAAAGTCCTACTCCTATTTCCACTAAACACAGAAAAATGACATTTTAAGTTCACTCTGGCTCAAGATCACAGAACTCATATAAAAATAAAACGGGATTCAGACCACCTTGTTTCTTCAGCTGTTAACACAGGAACAAGAATAAACCCTGGTGTCACGAGACTAGAGAATTCAAGTTTAATATTACTTTCAGGCATACCGGAAACCGCTACGAGAGTGAGGGAGGCCCCTCCTCCGCCGGGTTTCCCTCGGGCCTGGGAAAATCCTACACATTGTCCCAAGCCACACCACGAAGGATTCAGCCATGGGTGGGGAGTCGGGGGTGGTCAGCACGCCGCTGCCATGTCTCCACGGCTCACTGCGGGGCGTATGGAGTCGTTGTTTGTGCGACTCACCTACAACTGGGTGGCAGGCCCGAGCCCTGCTACCTGCCCCAGAGCTTGGAAACGGAGGACGCTGCGCGCGTGTGAGCCCGCCCAGGGGTCCCGAAGGGGCAGGGCCTGGAACTTCCCCTTCCTCCTTTGGGCACCCCGGGGACCTTAGCCGGGCCGGGTCCCGGGTCTGGGGAGTTGAAGCCTGCTAACAAGCAGTCCCGGCCCGGCCGCCCTTCTCTGCCTCGCGCGCCTGGAGCGCAGTTCCTACTGTACCTTCCGGCTGCCCCACCGCGCCGGGCTCAAAAGTTCCGCCCTCCAACCTAAGCTCCGGATCCCCTCACCTCCACTCGCTGGCCCCGCCTGAAGACGCCCGGCTCAACCGGCGGACCGCCTCTTCCGTCTTCGGAGCTGTCAGCTGAGCCGGGCGGATCTGGCTGGGAGGCCTCGGCGAGGGAAGGGCTCTGCGCAGACGCCGTGACCGCCCCGGCCCCTCGGCCCCCCCGCGCGGGTCAAACCGGCGCTGCAGCCGCGACCATCGTCACCGTGTCGCTGCCCACCAAACAAGTATGCCTGTGGAGACGTTGACACAAATGCAGATTCTGGGGCCCCTGCTGGGAATGTGCGTCGGAATTAGAATTTTTACCAATCACTAGAGGTAATCATGAGGCAGGGAAATACCTGGGGTAGACCTGCTTCCACAAGTAGAGAAAGCAAGCCTTTTCTCCCTCCCGGGATCCCGGTCTCAGAAATGCTACCTATCTTTCTGGCACCTCCACTATGAAGGCATTCACTCATTGGTCATATTGTAACGGTAATAACTACCGTGTTGATTAAGCATAGGGATGCTTCAAGTCCTGTATTCATGGTTTAATGTAAATTTTCACTTCATTATAACCTTATAATTTAGATACTATTTGTTATTCCTGCTTTACAAGTGAGGAAATTGAAACTGAGAAAGGTTCAAAAATTTACCAAAGCGTATAGGCTGAGTGGGAATTAAAATTACATGTCCCCTACCTCATGCCATATGCAAAAATTAACTCAAAATGTATCAAAGACCTAAATGTAAGCAATAAAATTAAAACATCTCTTAGAAGAAAATGTCGGAGTAAATCATGAACTTGGATTATGCAATAGGTTCTTAGGAACAAAAGCACAAGAAATAAAAGAAAAATAATTAGATTCATCAAAATTAAAAATTTATGTGCTTCAAAGGACATCATCAAGAAATGACAACCCACAGAATAGGAGAACAAATTTGAAAATCATATGTCTGATAAAGGTTTAAAAGCCAGAACATGTAAAGAACTCGTACAACTCAACAACAGAAAGACCAATTACTCAATTTAAAAATGGGCAAAGGATGTAAATAGACATTTCTCCAAAGAAGATATACAAATGTTTAGTAAGCATGTGAAAAAAGGCTTGTCATTAGTCATCAGGGAAATACAAATCAAAACCACAATTAGAAGCCACTTCACTCACTAGAACCGCTGTAATAAAAAGAAAAAAAAATTTTAATCTCATGATACAGAGAACTGTTTGGTGGTTGCAAGAGGCAAGAGGTGGGCAAGTAGGTAAAGAC